GGCCACAAGTCGATGGCCCGTCTAGCCAAAACAAGCCATACGATGTGTCCAGTCCCGTCATGCGGACAGTTAGCAGTGATCAGTGATTGGCATTATTCGGCACCTATCGGATGGTCCCGGAGATTAATGATGGCATCTTCACGTTACCGACATAATGGCCGAGCAGTTAACGTTATTGCTCGTGTGACGTTTCCAGACAAAACTGACAGTTCACCAGATGATCGGAGATGGCCTCATGCTTAAAGCTGCCCTTCACTTGTTGTCGTGAATCATATGGCAGGCCGCCTCTCTCCTGGCCAGTTGTTTCAAGATATAAAGTAACATCTCCGCCTGATATTTTGATTATTAGAGAACTTCGTAAATCATTGCTAATCTAAAACAATATCCATAGATATTTGTTTCTATCAGAACAATGCCCTCCAAAATGGTTTTGAACACGAATAATTAAGCATTATGTATATGTCTTTCTCTATTTTTGTACAAATAATCCGATTAATGTGGTACATGAAGCAAGTGCATCCTATTGAATCACATCGCCGTTGTTTAGTGTTGAGCAGGACGTAGAACAACGATTGCTCTTTGAGAATGTTTCAAAGCATTATATGAAGCTAGTAAAATATGTATGACATTCGACAAAGAAATTACAGCATGGTTTGGCTGTAGTGCCATATTTGATGCTGACCTAAGTACACTCCCCAGACCACACGGTCATACAGTAGAGGTTAGGCCAGTGATATTTTTGATTTACCATATTGTACTGTGGCCAAATATTCTTGACACTGCATCGATCTATTATAATTCCCAACCAACATCCTATGACAAGGTACATGTGGGGCAACATTAGTGTACCTCTCAGTGTAACAAGGGTGTGCATGTACAAACAAATATATTAAGAACATTTACGAAAAATACTTTTTGTCCCTTTTTCCCCTGCTTGATCATAATCAAATGGTCGAATGTTGAATAAGTTACAATGACCTGATTACTCAGTCACACATTATACGCCATGCCAGTGAAGAAGTGTCTTATCATTCAGTAATTAGTCGTGTACCGGTTTTCAGTCTTTTCTTGGTACTCTTCTCCCTCACTTTCATGTGTTTTGTCTGGAATGAAACAATTGTCTGACGCAGAATCTCCATCACTGTTCAGCCACTATTACAGTGCCACCTGGTCCGAAACCTTTTCGATATCCTTTTTTTGAGTCACGAGTTCCAATTTTCCGGCCTGACAATTCCAGCAACCGTGGTTCGTGATTCCTGCTTGTTCGTGTGCAGAGATGTAATCATGAAGGCACATTGGACAGGCATATTAAATCAGGTTGAATTCTTACATTTTACGAAAATTGAAATCCGACAGAATGCAAAAGTAATAATGAAGGCTTGTAAATAGCGACTGATTAAGGCAGATTGAGATTAATTCATCGCATGGAGAAGTGGAAACATCTTAGTGGTTATAACATGACAAAACTCAATTTCGCCTCATAAAACCAGATTCCGAGTGAAATTCAATGGCGGCTGAGCGATTCATTCAAATTAGCTCGACCGTGATTGTGTCCTGGTAGATTTACGTCCTATAGAAAATTCCACTAATTTTCAATGAAAAGATTAAAAACGCTTTGAAACGTTTGTTTGAAATCACTTCAAGCACGCGATTGCGAGTCTATCATGATAAATTCAAGACTATGAGCTTATTGGATCTCCATCGAGCCGTGTTGTCAATCTCGTACATGCGATTACGCGTGCTGGACATAGTTTTAGCTGACATCAGCTCTCTCTGGTATGGAGACTAGACCGAATTGCTTGCCTAGGCATTAACTGAGCCTAGGCGACATGAACCAATTGCTTTATCTAAACCTAAGCGACATGACAGTGTGTCACGAGTTTAAGATTTCATGCATCTCAGTTCCTGTTAGAGGTTGAATCATTTAGTGTAGGCATACACCGTCTAGTATACCCAGAGGAATTTCTGGTTGTCAACTCGGCTAAGACTGTTAAAGTTGTCGTTGTCCATCCGTAGATGCAGATTAGCTGCTATGGTATTGATCTCAAGTGCATTATATTGTAACTTTTATCTGAAATACTCCTCAAGGTGGAATATATTGCTATTCAATGTGTCATTGGAAGTTTTTGTTTGAAAAGAAATTCCTTCGGAGATAATGATATGGAGCTGGTGGTAGACAATGCTTTAATATTGGTCCGGACCAGCTCTCCGTTTATAAACAATGGTTGTTTTTTATTTTACTTTTGATTGATAACATCCGTTTACAATTTAAGTAAGTAACGGATTTATAGTGCTTTGATAATCTCACACGATAGAATTTGCAATACATTGTTATCATAAACAATGTAGGCCTGAAAAAACAAAGAATGATTTAATATCCTTAAAAGTAGTTAACATAAAAATATGGTTATCATTTATAAACATATTTATAAGGTATCTGTTCGATAGATAAACATGAGTTGTTGATAGATGACAAGAATAGTAATGTTCCTTTCAGTAAGGCGTTCCTTTACTACAATAACGCAAGAATGTGTCCTTTATAAATCTCCAACCAGCAGTGCACTTAGTCATTCACGAAAAAGCAACATATTTTCTCTGACCACTTTCAAGTTTTAATGTCCTTTTCTTAAAGTCATAGATTGTTGTTTTGATTTTGACACGTTTTTACCAATGACGGATTGATTAATAAGTATGATTTATAAAACGCGAGAATGGGTACGATAATTGCTAAAGTTCGGTGAAGTCCTGGTGGGGAGTTTTAGAATGGCATGATCGGAACAATTTGTAGTTTGTTATTTTCATTCTTTACAAAACATGGTCAATCGCGTTGGTAATCTTCCAAAATTAAATTCTGTAACCAATACGGGTTTCTGGTATTTTTGTATTCATGTTTTCTGCTACTTTGTATTTTAAAATGTATGAAACCCAGGCAACTGTGAAGGTCATATAGATTTTTTCTTATATTGACGTCACCATGGGATATCTTATTTCATTTCTGAGAGAATTTTCAGATTATCGTCGTCGAATTGGGGATTTTAAGCAATCGACAATCTGATATAAATATTATTGTTGTGATATACGTTGAACTGCTTTCAGTTGGCATTCAAATCCAATATGAATGTCAAATGAGGCGTGGAAAGTAACATAAACGTTTAGTAATAAAGTATGACAAACAGATATAAAATACAGGCGACCACACGGCATCTTTACTATTTCTATAATCCATGTATATATAGCATGTCTAATTTTGACGTTGATTGTCCATAACATCTCTACCACGAATTCCATGCTCTAGTGTTAGTGAGTTGATGTTCAAAGTTCCTACTGGAGCGACACCAAGTACCAACAGAATATAACATTTACCATATTCCGTTTCAAATCACGCCCTCCGATTTGTTGAAGTACGTAGGTCAGACGTGACGTCACTCGTGCTTCATTGCAAGTCCCTAGCGTGATTGTTTCCCAGCGTGCAAAGGGAAAAAACCATTTCTGCAACGTTGTGTAAAATAGAGTTGTAGTTAATTTAGCCTCATTAAAATTCGAAACATCTTTATTGACATAAACTGGTCCTGCAGATGTTGTCGTGAGTCTATTAAGGGATAAGCTGGCGCAGCAGAGGTTGTCGTGAGTCTATGAAGGGATAAGCTGGCACAGCAGAGGTTGTCGTAAGTCTATAAAGGGATAAGCTGGCACATCAGAGGTTGTCGTGAGTCTATGAAGGGATAAGCTGGCACATCAGAGGTTGTCGTGAATCTATGAAGGGATAAGCTTGCACATCAGAGGTTGTCGTGAGTCTATGATGTGACACGCTGGCACTGCAGAGGTCGTTGTGAGTCTATTATTAGACAAGCTTGCACTGTAGAGGTTGTTGTGAGTCTATGATGTGACAAGCTGGCACTGCAGATGTCGTTGTGAGTCTATGGTGTTGAAAGTCTATTAGGGGACAAGCTTACACTGCAGATGTTGTTTGAGTCTATGCTGCGACACGCTGGTACTGTAGAGGTCATTGTGAAACTTCTATGGGACACACTGCCACTGTAGAGGTAATTGTGAGTCTTTTATGGGACACGCTGGCACTATAGAGGTCGATGTGAGTCTATGATGTGACACGCTAGCACTGTATATTTCGTTGTGAGTCTATTATTGGGCAAGCTGGCACTGCATAGGTCGTTGTGGGTCTATGATGTGACACGCTGGCACTGTAGAGGCCGTTGCGAGTCTATTATTAGACAAGCTGTCACTTCAGAGAACGTTGTGAGGCTATGATGTGACACACTGACACTGTAGAGGCCATTATGAGTCTGTTATTAGACAATCTGGCACTATAGAGGTTGTTGTGAGTCTATGATGTGACACGCTGGCACTGTAGAGGTCGTTTTGAGTCTATTATTAGACAAGCTGGCACTGCAGATGTTGATATTTTTGCTTTCATAAAATGTACAGACTGCAATCATAATTCTTGTCTCATAGAGGATTTACAACGAGTGTAATGATCACTGGCACACGTCATAGAACGTAATGTAGAATTAACGTGGTATTCCTCAATATCGTTCATAAGTTTTCAGTAATGTTTCCTTTACCATTAATTTTACAAGTAACAATGAATTTTGTCACTACATCACGAAACACGGAATCTTTTCTGTAGAGCGATGTTTTTATTTTATTTTTGTAACAAGTATTCCTGGACTCTGAACATGTCGTTTTCAAACGGGCAACAGACTTCCGCTGGCAATTGTCAAAGAAAAATGTCAGAGTAGATCTTCGAGTGACCGTTCTAAATTCTAAATTGAAAACCGAAAGTTGCTCTTTCCGTCTATACTTTAGAATATAATTGAGCTTTTGGTTTTTCCTAAAGACTTTTTGAATCCAACAAGTCTTGCAAATATATGCCGTACCCTGGTGTATTCTACATTCTTTATGATAATGTTTTAACTATCAATGTCACAAACTATGATTTTACATTTAGCATATCGTTACAGATTATATTTCTGTTCTTTCAGATTGTGCTTTGAAACTCGATCTCGTGTTCATCATAGACGGTACGAGTGCCGTGTCCCCTCACGACTTCTCCAAACTCAAACAGGCGGTGCTCGCGCTTCTCAGGTGCATGCACGAGCGAGACCAAGTACACGCGGGGGTGATCGTATACGGATCAACACTGGCCCGTCCTATACCCCTCTCCGGCGACAGGAACAAGCTGGTGGAGCTGGAGAATATCAATCCACCCATGGGAGAGCCAGAAACTCATATCGCACTGTTAAACGGAAGAGCGCTATTCCGGAAACGAGGCAGGGCAGAAGTGAGGAAAGTTGCAGTTTTTGTTACAAGTGGATTAGGAAATTTTGTACAGGAGACTATTCAACAGGCAGCGCATGCGCGTGAAGAAGGATATAGATTATTTGTGGTCACTTTGGCGGATGGCGTGGAGGGTGCTGATCAGTTACCTTGGCAGCCAGGAGATATATTCAAACTTAAAAATGTCAATGAAATGGTTGAAGAACTCGGAAAAATAGCAAGAAAAATATGTACTGGTAGGTATATGATAACAACTTCATTATATTGCAAGAATAGGTGTGTTTTAGCATAACAGTATTGTGCGTGTATGAGTATTGACTTTAAATGTATATAGAAGATATTTAATATAGAATTGGCGTTGATATCAGCTATAGTATTTTACTGCCTCGCAGCGAAAAGGGCATATAGAACCAACAGAAATGCTTGCTTATTTTTTTAAACCTCCATCACATAATGCTATTAACAGGTAAAACATTAAATTTGTTCCCTTTTCTTTTTAAACATATGCCCCCTTTTTCGATTCGAATAAAATTAACATGAACTTTAGTGCCGTTGCAGTTGCCCATGCCGAGCCCATCAAACCCTTAGTCAGCATTATCAGCGCAAGTCCTCTGGCTAGGCCGCCAATCAAATCCCACGGGGATATCGCCGTAGCTCTCAGCAGGGGAAATACGAACATTGATATAAAAGGTAAGTCCTAAGTGTGACAGGGGTTGATAACATTGTATCGGCTGTGTTTTGTCGTCTATTGTTGATGAAGAGGTGAACCACTTTATCGGGGTTCAACAAAATCAAAGTCTACATTTCAAATTTCTCTTGCGTATTCGGGGGCCGGTCTCGTCGCAAAATTAAATTTAAACTTTGATGGAAATTCACGACGAATTCCGATTGATGCTTGTCTCCTGACAAAAATGGTTACTATTCATGATCAGAACACGACGTCGGTCCAATGAATATGTCTGTTTAACCTTTTTGTAAGAAAGACCTTCGGTGCAGAAAACGCTTAATCTTCCGGTATACCTGGTTTCTATTTTTGATAGGGGCTCTTTTGTCATCAGTTCTTGTTATATTTACCTTTATATTTAGTATTATCGTTTCCTGATGCAATGTCGTTGTGGATTATATTTGCTCTATTTCACCTTTAGAGAATCTTCTGTATCACAGGTTCGCTCTTTGAATTCTTGTTCGTATATTTTTTAATGATGAATCTCTATGACTGCATTTTTAAAAATGCAGCAAGAGATTACAGAATGAATAGAGCATGGGTTATTTTACCTCGAGATGTCAAGAGACGTCTGGTGAGACTTTCGAATTTGACAGGGTGGGAACAAGTCAACTTAAGACAGCGTGTATGTGATAATTGGTACTTTTGGTTTCCATTGGGTATTGGAAGACATAATTAAATCAAGAAGCAGTGATGTTTGGAGAGCATGTGCTATATATAGATATTTAGGATGGGATCCTCATTGTCGATACGGATAGTATAACGTTAACATTGGCAAAATATGAAATGGTTTCCATACTGCGAACATTTAAGAGAATTGATTCCCGAGTTTGGCACCTGCGAACTCATATACTTTATAGTATTATTTTCGAATTGTTTTCTGTATTCACTTTATAATCGGTCCGATTACCGCCCGAGGCGAAGCTGTGGGCTGAAACTGGTGGCCAGTAACTAGATCAATATGGAAAAATAAGACAATGATAATTTTATCGGCTTATGCATATAAGGAAGGTAATGATAATTTTCATTGGCAATTAGATTCATATTTTTACTGAAATTTTAAAATCATTCATTTTATTGACAATAATTACAATTAGTTTATATAATAATGCTTATTATTTTGTGAATGACCCTAACGACTAAACAACGACTGTTCTTAGTACATCTTGACTAAATTAGATGAACAGACCACATGGGCTTTGTGAACAATGTTTACTTGCCGAAATATACGCAATTTAAATTCCAATTTAATCCGCCTTGCTACTTCCAGTCGCCATTTTGTAAACAGGACCTAATCTCGAGCTGATGCGCGTTTGAAAGAGTTTAAAGTATTGGAAAGCTTCTAAACGATCATGCCCAGAACATACTCTCTAAGGATGATGTTTTTGATAAATTTACTATCAATTATTTACTATATTTCTTTTCTGTATCACTTTCATCAATTCATAAAAGAACAAATTTGTTTTTTCCCCTTCAATTTTTTTTCTTTTAATGTTAAAACACACTTTTTTGGAAAAAATGTTCTAGTTTCCAGATTATGATCAAACGTCGTAATATTTACAATGTATTGATATTGTTTTATTAACTAGTTTATTCTTTAAACTATCTTTTATTAATAAATATCAAAAAGATTTTGCATTTTATGACGTAGCCGGAAGCGCACTTGATACGAGAACGTGACTCGGAAATAGTTCACAACATAATCAGGACAGTAATAATAAACAGACGTTTATAATTATCGAACATTAACAGATTAATACCGTATGTATTGAGACACTGATGTGCTAGAATCCAACACAAGGTAACACTCGTTTAATCCGTTGCTATCACATCAAGTACTAACTGACATTTATGCGGAAATATCAGCATTAAATGTTTGCGATCGCGCAGACCTACTTTCGTTTTACAGTTTACATACATTTGTACATGTCGGCATCAACAGTATACCTTAACTTTCGTGCCGAAGATTTTACATAGGCGCATTCAAGGAAAAATTCATGATTAAAAGCTTGTGTGTGTGTTTTTTTTTTATCTTAAAATTATCGGATAAAAGCATAGTGGCATGTTACTTCAAAATAAAAGATACAAGAATCATTATATTACAAAAATGTACGTTAAATATATGTCATAGTTAACATAAGCTCTCAGGAGCTTGAAACATTGTAACAGTGTAAGGCAAACAACAAATTTTATCACAAGATACCTACGATGGAAGGATTAAGATAAAGAAGCTAAATAATCATGCTGTACAAAATTTGGCACTAAAACAACTTACTTAAAAGTCAGTCCAGAGGGCAGGTGATTGGGACATAGCATTTATCTATAACCAGGAGCAAGGTTTTGGTAGCCATTAATATTAAAAGACGTTTTTAGTATTGATGCTGCTCGGATTGACACCAGTGATGTATTTATCGTTTAAAGGTTAAAGCGTCGTTATCCAAAAAGAAGAATAGTACAAATTGAAAAGTGTGAATTGCCTACAGCTCCTGTCAAAAGTCAAAAACATTTCTCTCATGTTCTTTCTTGTCACCTGGACGTTTGTAAGTTAGAACAGCTGGTCTCGCAGACGCTTAAACATATATACAGTTATACCACAGTATTGTATTGTCTCGGTATGGCTACGAATGCGTTCCAGGTCAGGTAATAGGGCATCAAATCTATTAAATTCAAATAAAGCACCACTTCACGACAATCATGGATTCATATGGGTACAATGTTATAAAAATAACATTCATACAGTGCATGCAAGCTGAAATTAACAAATCATTTGTTTTAAATAACAAGTCATCATTTCCATGAAATTATCCAAATAAATAAGATCTTTATGTCAAAATAAACTTCAGGTTTGATTTAGTATTGTTTAATGCATGTCCTATCAACAGCTATACATGGTCATTTAAGGATGGCCTCCCCCATTTGCTAGATGCATGCGTGTGGTGAGTTTGTGCATATTTAATTTGTGTTTTTGGAGTCTATGGTATGTTCATGTTTGTCTCCTTGTGATAGCACAGGACTGTGCTGACTTTATAGTGTAATTTCACTGGAGCATACTGCTGAAGACGCATCTTATTTTACGATCTAACCTCGTTATCTCACCATCTTAATAGCCAAGGGTTCATAACTTAAATTTGTATTATTCAACCTTGGCAGATTTAGCCTTGTGTTTAATTTCCCTCCCCTGCCACCTTGCATAGACACTTTACTAGCAAAACTTTAAACTTTCAAGATTATTTCAGCACTGGTCGCCTATGTATTTCCCTTGGTTATCATTTACAGTTAGAATATGGTCAATTATCACTACCAACTGATCATATACAGAAAATGTTTTTTTAAGTATTGTCCTCCTTTGTTTTTTTACATAAATCATGACATATAGTCGACAAGGCAACTTCATACTGGGCGCCGCCATTATTATTTTCATGCACAGGGACTTGGTATTAGTTTCTAATATATGTGTATTATATAATGTATGATATAAAAAATGGGGACCATAGGATGGTAATTTGTGCCAAGTCCCTGTGCCAGGTTCAATAATTTGAAAGCTTAGAGAACAAGGCTGAAAACATGTATGGAATGTGTTTTTCCTAAGGGAGTCTGTATAAACACATTATGAATATGTAAAATTATGATTTTACTCGAATTACCTGACGTTATTTTCAATACCTTCAGTTCATCTATATTTCCACACTGTTCTCGGTATTCCGTCTATGCGTATTGCAGAGTTATCTTCTCTTGTGAGCAGGTATTGATTGTTACATCATTGGCTTGTGTGAGATAATTACGTCATTTTCACGAAAATTGATGACGTTACTCTCACAAACAAATGATATAACAATCAATACCTGTTCACAAGAAAAGATAACTCTGCAATACGCAAAGACAGAATAAGGGATAGGAGTCAGTTTGTTTTTTGGGTTTTATAAATCCTCGCAACCACTTTTAAGTCATATGTATAAGAAAGGTCTGCCAAATATCTGATTCTTTGACAACTTTACTACAAATATATAGCAGGAATTGAGCTTTCTATATCAACTGCACTACACTTCATATTATTTGTTGACATTTTTCTGCTACAATACATGGAGTTTCCTCACAAGATGCTGATAACCGAAAAGAGTCTGAAACCTTAATCATATCTTTTAAAAAACTGTGTTTAAAAAAAATGTTATGCATGTATCTCTTCGATCCACTAAACATCAACAAACAACATTTAAACCCTTCATTCCCTAAATCTGTTATTGAAAGGATTGTAAAAATAATGTGTTCGCTTAAATGTTAAAATATTTCTGTTAAAAATTCATATTTACAGTGGTGTTAAAATCCACTAATACGTAATTTGACATAAAATTGTACTGCAGTATTTTTTGGTCTGATTTTTGACAGCTAAATAAGTCTCATCAAGGGTCATTGATCTGTCGGAAGTTGCAGTAGGCAAAGTTATTTGACTTTGGTATGGAATCATCCTAAAAATAGAAGAAAGTAAGGGCTGGATTTTCATGAACTTGAAGAGTTGTGCCCCTTTGTTTGCTTTCCTATACATCTTATTCTGCCAGTTTATCATTCATATTTTTATTTTTCCATTTGTTATGCACTTCATATACATCTGATGAGAATGGGAGATATTTAAAAATGCTCAAAATTTGCCAAGAAAGCTCAAAGTTTCAAAAGGTCAAAAGGTAAAACTTGACACCATGCACGCCAGGTTTGAACATTTTACTGTAATGTTTGTTTTACTTTCCATGTGGGGAGGATTTTTAATGCATCTCGACTGTTACATCAATCAATTAATTTTCATTTAGATGGTGTCCCTGAGAATTATTTCTGATATAATTTTAAAATGTGTTTCAAGTAATACTCATACTCTCTGTTTTAAACTAGGAACACTTGCTATGTACTCTAAGTATTTGTGCGGTTATGATTGATTGTCTTCCTTTGGATAATATTCCTGTGAGTTGTGTCCCTCACA